GCTAAAAGCTGTAAATGAGGGCTTCTGCAGTGCAAACTAACGGAGTGCCTTCATTATTTATCGCACTGATCTGATCTGGAGGAAAGTACCCAACAAAACACTAACTGTTGGGAAGCTTTTCTTTCGGTTGCCGCAGTACAAGTGCTGAAGTCTCTTGAGAGAACCACATCAAAGAGAGTGCAACAGCTCACGGTGTGTCTAGTTAATTATCTCACTTAAAAGGTGGGAAATTTTACAAAACTGAGTATCACACATGACTTGAAATAAACGATTGGGGAGTAATATCAAAGTAGAGCACTTCCAAAAACCAGGAGCCCACCACCTTTCATATTCCCATTTGCTTTTTTATTGTGGTCTCATTTATTAAAGTGTGGTTACAGTGCTGTAGATAAGGGTTTGTGAGAACTTCAATTAATCTTTGATTATGCACTATAAGTAGGTGCTATGAGTTTTTAAAGTAGTCTCAGGCAACGATAGAGTTTGTCAGAATATTTGGTTTGGATATTTAACATGTCTTTGTGATGATAGGTAGAGCTGATAGACACTTCTGATAAGAAGACCTTGTTTTCAGTTGCTTGTAACTTTGTCAAACTTTGGCAAATTCAGGCTGAAATCTTTCATACTGGGTGCCTCCCTTGAGTAAATTTTAGGAAAACTTTGGCCAAAATGTTTTATTCAGTTGCGCATGCTAAAAAAAATGTTGCAGCCTTTTCTTTGAAATGCTCTAGCTTTGGAGCCGGGATTTGAAATTTGCCAAGGGGGATAGCTTTTGTGTCAGGAATGTGCCTTTTGCTGTCTTCCTAAAAATCCACTCAAAGTTGACCTTTGAAAATCGCAGTTCGCACATTCTCAGTAGAGACATCCTAGAGCTTAACAGCTAAAATCTTCAAAGGTTATCCTCACTGAGCATACTCAAGCCTCTCACAGCTTCTAGTGTTGACAAGACTCCACCTGTCATCCCCACATGGCTACTCCAGCACACAGCTATGGGGGCTCAGAAAGACTTCACCTGTAATGGCTACTCCCAGCAGTTTTGGGCCAGGCACCAGAATTGAGAGCATAGAACCGTGCAACACTCCCCTCTGCTTCCACTGACTCCCCCACTGCTGGCACCCAGGCAGCATGGAGGAGGAAGCCATTAGATTAGAATGCAGAGGGAACAAAAGTTGAATGGGGGAGAGAGAGAAGTAGATAGGAACAGTGTCTCGTGAACTGGAATTTGGGGGCGGGAAGAGAAACTGAGAATTGGAGGAGGGAGAGTGGGTCCAGTTGGGCAAGGGGCTGTGTGGAAAATATAGTATAGGATCATGTTATTAAAGACTGTCATGCATGTCCACAAAGGGGCTGAATTAAGGTTTCACAGACAGTCTTAATTCTGGCATTTCCTAATGTTTGCATTTGCAACCTTAATGCTCTTTTAATGCCGTTTTTTGTGTATAATAGTAAATCAGAGTTTGGGGGAGGATTATAAATAGTTGATAATATGGACTAATTTTTTGTGTGTTTATATTTTTGGTCTCTGATATTTATAGACTATATTCTTGGTGAAGTTGGAATAGTTCAGATGTTTGCCACCCATGATTTCTTAATTATTGCTAAAACTAAGCTGCAACTGGTTAGTCCTCAACATTTTGTAAACTTTTAAGTACCAATATAAGTGTTTGCTACTTTACATATTAAAATACAGTCCCCCTGTTCCAGGCAATTTTCTGGGTACATTCAATGACATCTAGCATTTTATGAAGGTCTCAGTCACTGTGTATGGATTGAGCTGTGGTAAATTTTAGAGTGTTTGCGAAATGTTTTGAGGAGCGATTTGAAGGCAAGGAGGCTGCTTGGCTAACAAGAAGGGCATACTTTTCCACGTGTAAAAGTCACTGTAGTAAAAGTTGCAAACACAGGTAGAGAAATAGTAATGCTGTGTATTGGGTTCAGCTCCACAAACCTGTATTTGTTTGATATCCACTTGAATCCAGCCGATGTTTTCTTATGGCTTTCATAATAAAATACCAGTTTAATTTTTATTAAGATCTTAATTTACAGTAGCACTGTAAAGTTCATGTCCCTAAAATATTTTTATCTGGTCACATCATTTAAACGTTTCCTTGAAATGCTCTTGTACTCTGAAATATTATTTTTAAGTGGGTACTGAACGGATTTCTTTTTTATCTATGATTTCCATCTATCTGCAAATAAATAGATGCTATTGACTGGTCCTTCAAACCCTCCTTGTTATCTGAAAATCAAGTTAATCCATTAGCCATAACTTGGCTTAACTAGTGCATTAAAGGTGTAATTAAGGTGTAGTTAGGGGGTCCATCTCTGTATACCTGCATGAAGTTTCTCCATTTGGAATCTAGTTAAAAATTCTGCTGGTGTGTGAGCCTGTAAAAAAAAAAAAAAAAAAAAAAATCTCACTTTCCTTCAGCTGCATTGGCTCTTTATTACTTTCTGTATGAATAATGCACTGATTTTGTCACTAACGTGAGCACATGTGACTCCAGTACATACAAGCAGCAACTCTGACTATGAAGATACCTTTTATAGTCAAATTAACTATAATCCTATTTGAAAGACTCAAGAAGTTTTATATTTTAAATTGCATGATCAAATTAAATACTAACAGTTACTGTGATTCCTACTGCAAATGACAGCAAGAAATCTGGTATCTTTGTTGAAATCCTGCATGTGCTTAGTAGATTTGTTTATAGTAGGTTACACTAAACTTGCTGTCTGTTTAAAAATGTCACCAGCTGTGTGTGTGTGTGTGTGTGTGTGTAAAAAAATAAATATATAAATGTGGCAGGTATTAACTAAAAAACACAATTGTTGAAATCTTTAATATACAGTAAGTGCTACAGATGGCTGTAATGAGCCCAATAAAGGGGGCATTGTGTCTGCAGAACAAATGAGTGGCCAGAGAATGTTCTGCTGACTGGGTAGGCAGACAGGCAGCTACGACTTGCACTACATGAGTTAATACAACACCAAAATGCCTTTTCCTTTGAAGAAGTGTTTTTGGAAATAGACTTCCTGGTCTCTTGCAGGCTGTCTCTAGTATTTTGAATTAGAGTATATAAACTGTAGTGTAATGTTCCTCTTCTGTTTCCCTTCTCACTTCTCTTTGCTGTATTCTTCCATAAGTCTTCCCTATTGAGTTAACCAGTGCTGGTTTTTGAAGACCACAGTACAGATAAGTTCAATGGAGCAAAGCTGCAGTTAGAAACTGTTAGATTAGACATAGCTCTGTTAGTAAAAGAGTATAGAAGCTGTCTCCCTCTTTTCCCACTTCTCCCCACCTTCTTTATCTTTCTCGTTCATCTCTTGTCACAGGTTGCAAACTGAAATTTATTGAAACATTGGCATTGCGTAGTTTATAGTCTGTGATGTATGTTGGACATAGTGTAGGGAGAGTGGCAGTGCACCAACGTGTAGGGAGGGGTTTTCAGACAAGAGGGACTTGATTGTGGTGTGCAAGAAGAATCATTAGTAATAGGACACTAAAAAGTTCTTGTTACAGTGCAAGTGTGTGCACATTTCTAGTGTTTTTTTGTTTAAGATTTGAGTCTGTTACAAAATCCTCAAAATGGAGAGAATTGCAGATTGGATAACATTTTAATTTTAGGTTCCAGAGTAACAGCCGTGTTAGTCTGTATTCGCAAAAAGAAAAGGAGGACTTGTGGCACCTTAGAGACTAACCAATTTATTTGAGCATGAGCTTTGCATCCGATGAAGTGAGCTGTAGCTCACGAAAGCTCATGCTCAAAAAAATTGGTTAGTCTCTAAGGTGCCACAAGTCCTCCTTTTCATTTTAATTTTATTGGCCTTGGAAACAATATTGTTTTGGGAAATTTAACTGCTGTTACTAATTTTGTTTAAAAAGGGAAGCAAAGTGTTTGTCATTTTATGGAAATACTTTGGGTTAACATTATGCATTCAGGAAGGGTCATATAAGTAAACTTTTCTGTTTGGGAACAAAAAATGCAAATTAAGTATTTTCTCCCACTCTCTATTGTAATTTAAGAATGGGAACGATTAGTATGCTATAGCTAACAAAAATCCTGATTCTTAGCAGAGTAAGAAGCAGCTGCAAGGCCATGGAGAAGATAAGTTGGTTTTTGTTTCTTGCAGTTTTTGTGGGTTTTTTGTAACATTTGATGCCAGCTCTAGTCAGATGGATTGCAAAAGAGGAAAAGTCCCTGGACTCCTTAGTACCTGAATCTATTACAACTTGTGTGAGGGGTTAAAAGAATGTGGAAATTCCGTGTTGGTGGCTTTCTTATAGTATTCAGTGGCTGTATTAGGTTATTGTATTTTTTATTTATTAATCTTAACCGCTGTTAAAGAAAGTCACAATAAACCATAATCCTACTCAATTTTTGTTACTTGTAATCTTGGCTTTGGGTGGGATTAAAATGTAGGGATTTAAAAACATTTAAGAATTTTTAAAAGGCCAACATTCTTGGGTATTTTTAATACTGAAGCAGCCTGGAGAAGACAGTAACCAACTCCTTTTTGCAGATTGATGTATAGATTAACAAATTTTTAGGATGAACTAAAACATTCAAAATTGTGTGGTTTTCAGGAGTGAGCATAACCACCAGTTGTAAGGTTAAGCATGTACATTTTCCATAGTTCCAGTTTGAGTGCTTGAAGGTAAGCTGCTTCCAATGTGTTTGTAGCGTAGTGGGGCATCAGTCCTGTATGAGGCTTTGGGGTACTATGGCAATACAAATAAATGATTCGTAAGCAACTGTATTTGCTGGTGGTATTGCATATCCTTCAGCATTTCATTATTCAGTATTTTGTCTGAATTTCTTGAATTATTTTATGGAATATCAGTCAAGTGCGAATCAGTTAATTTTCTCTAAATAAGCTTACTGAAAACTGCTTGAAGAAAGTGTGTGAAAAATATGAAGGCAGTTGTTCTCAGTGATACAATCTTCCATGATTATTTAATTGTAGATATTTCTGTTCTCTTACAACTGTGCCTTTTTTAGGGAGGTGGTGGACTCCATGGTGCAGCATTTTAAAGTGACAATATTTGGGGACCGGAGACCAGTTTATGATGGGAAGAGAAGCCTTTATACAGCCAATCCACTCCCTGTAGCAACCACTGGGGTAAGACATATTGGTACTTCTCCGTTGTTGCACACAGCTTGTCAGAAAAGCAAGAATATCTTTCTAAAAAGGTTAGCTTCAGAAATAATTGAAAATACACTAGGGTATCTGAAATGCAATAAGAACCTCCCTAATGTACACCTTGATGATCCATAAACCCCATAATATACAGAAAGTAATAGTCTTTACCATCTTCTCAGTAAATATTTAATAGTATTTGATATTTTTCTGCGCTGAGATCTCATATTAAATATTCAGTTTTACAACACATACTATATAGTATACTTGTTCTCAAACTTTAGCAACCTGAGGACCCCCATTTGAATTTCAAATTTTTCTTGGCCCCTCAAACACCCTGTTCAGCCCCAGGCCCTGCCCCCACTCCACCCCTTCCTCCAGGACCCCACCCCATCTCTTCTCATCCTGGTCCACCTCTCCTCCTCCTCTTCCTCGCCAATATACCGAGTTGTACAGACATTCTTTTCCCAACCTATGTATTATATAATTTTTTAACATTAGTTTTAATAAAATTTTTAAATTTATTAGTAGCAGTATTATTAAACATTCACAAATAGGCTTTCAAGTTAAAATTCTCTTAAGATAATGAGTTCACACTTTGAGGCTAGACTGATAATACATGAACATATGGATCATGTATTTAAGGCGACGTATGCAGCTTGTTGCATCCAGTTTCCTGGGTTTATCCACTCTCAGCCCAATCCAAAACCTTGGCTTGTAATCATTTTTGAATCTGTGTTTAATCAGTGTGTTTCACCAGACATGATCACAAACTATGTTCAGAAATAGTGATATAGGCTGCCAGGGGCAAAGAGGAACAAGGGTCATCTACAGCATGTTTATAGCTGCAGTAGCCTAAAAGTTTAAAATAAAAACATTTCTCTTCTCTTTCCCCTCCCTTCTGCGGGGCAGGGAAATAATGCTGCAGTGTGTGATAGCTATGCTGGCAGACTGAGAGAACCATTCTTTTTGAGCAGTTGCTTACACAACTCAAAACATTAAGTGTTGACAGGATCTTGTTTTCTGCTGTTAGTTATTTTATAGGCTAAATCCAAGAGCTGCTGCAAAGTGTCATCATCACTTTAAACTTCCTTCCACCCACTTTATATGATTCTTCCTCCTTATCTCAGAACTCCCCTTCTACTTTCCCACACCTGCCAAATAAAAGCAAAAATGTTCCTTCTCCCCAGTTTTGACTTCAGATTGTGGATAGGTGGGACAAACATAGGCTAACTGTCTGAAAGAGAAAATGGCACCATTTGTAGTCAAGAGCTCTATTTGTATCTCATTTGCCTTTTAAACAGCTCTTGTGTTCTGCTTCTCCATTCCCTTCAACAGGTAGATTTGGATGTAACATTACCAGGAGAAGGTGGAAAAGATCGTCCCTTCAAGGTGTCAATAAAGTTTGTTTCTCGGGTGAGCTGGCACTTGCTGCATGAAGTTTTGACAGGAAGAACCTTGCCTGAGCCTCTGGAACTAGACAAACCAATCAGCACTAACCCTGTTCATGCTGTCGATGTGGTGCTACGACACCTACCCTCCATGAAGTAGGTTCTCTCATCTTCGTTCCCTCTCTCCCATTAGCTTTTTTTAAACTTTGGGGTGAAGTCCATTCATATTTCTGCACAAACATAGCAGGAGGAAATCAATTAAGCCATTCCTTACACACAATACGTCTTACTGATGGGCCTGGGGAGATTCCTGGTCTGAGTCAATTGAAGCTAATATTATCTGAGTGTGAATATTTGTGCAGGAAGGTCAGACCCAGAACAGGTAATATCAAAGACTTTCCACAGTGGATTATTCAAGACAGTATCTTCCCCCAAAAAACTGTTAAGGACCATGAGACACTTGTTCTGGATCTTCAAGTCAAGTTTAAGAAATCTGAAACGAAGTAATAAGGGTTACAATATACTGTACCACTGCATCTTGTGTACTCCAGTTTATCAGTGGCTCCACATAACTTGTAATGTGCCTTATCTGAAAGCATGAGCCTTTTTAATTCATTGACATTTCACAAAACTGCAACTTCATGTTCTGGATAAACAGTTGAGATAAGTTTTCTTTAACAGTATCTGTTTTCCTCGTCTCAGAAATCTGAAATTTCAAAGGAGGCTAGTGTAATTTTGATATACATTTTGCTTTATTCATGTACTGGAGGTTACTTTTATCTTTTAAAGTTTGAGTACTGGTTTGAGGCACAAGGGCAGTTTTCTCTTATAGAGGTTGAAATGAAATACATTGGTGAAATGTATCTGTAACTTGCCAAAATGATCTTGTCTCTTTATGGAACTAAAATCCTTCAACTGTCCTGAATTGTAAAGAAACATGAAAGCTAATGGCCTTGACACTAATATGATCCGTCCAAATGGTTGTATTCTCAGAGGTTGTTACACGACTATTATTCATCTTAAATGCCAACATAACTTTCCAAATTCTTTGCTTACACCAAGCTTTGGACAATAGAATGTGAATTAGTGAGCTGGACTAAAAACACATCGGTTTGGTAAAACATACTCACTTTCATGCTAGCGCAAAAGGATATCTGAAAGACTGGAGCCAATATACACCAGACACTATTCTGTAGAAGCACCTTGCCAGTCAGCATTTGTGCTGCAGTCAAGATCGTGCTTTACTGAAAGGATGATTTAATTTCAGATCTTTAACATTTATTTTTTAATTTGCTCTAAATACCATAAATAGCTGTCACTTTAAAAAATTGTAATGCTTTCTTTGACTAAAATTAAAAATACCACTATAGAAACAGCAACATACAGAATAATGTTAATTTAGTCTCAAAATCATAGCTATATTTTGTAAAATGTGACTTTCTGGTACCGATATACATCAATATCCATACAATAATTTATGAGGTGGAATAATAATCCTTGTTATATAAGGCTTTTAAAATACTCTTATGGAAGGCAGTAGTATATACAGACGGCTACTCTTTTCTTTTTTTAAATAGGTATACCCCTGTGGGCCGCTCCTTTTTCTCAGCTCCAGAGGGCTATGATCACCCGTTGGGAGGGGGCAGGGAAGTATGGTTTGGATTCCATCAGTCTGTTCGGCCTGCTATGTGGAAAATGATGCTTAATATTGATGGTAAGTAAATGATTTGTGTATAATAGAGGTATGGAATGGAGAAGGTTACCTTTTAAGAATAAAAATGTCTGTGCTGTTCAACTAGTTGACTGATGAAACTCAGATATGCACTACAAAATAGTACATTTTGTTTGTGGGAATAGTTTTCAAAACTTGTGGAACAAAAGCATTTCCCACAACTAAATCATCAGCTCCCAAATTTAACTTTTCTCTCTCTGCTAGAAATTAAGAAATTAAGCTTAAAGTAAATAGCTAATTTCAAGTATTCTTGCATATACTCTAGAAAAATACAAAAATTAATCTCTTGTCTATTTAGTTGCTTTATCTAAATTTAGAGTTGCTACAACATACATAACCAGATTTGCTATTACATGAAAAGCTATTTCTAAAAGTAAATGGCTCAGTTGGAAGATTCTGAAGCCTTTTATTGTAAAATCGTTACATAGAGTACAAATTATTTATCTGATTGAAAACTATATTTTCAATATCGTGACTTGGCTATAAGACTTCCTTTATAGTTGTGTGTTTATCATTATAAATATAAAAAATTACTACCAGGCTTAGTTCCTTTGCAGTGGGCTTAATTCAGTCTTCTGGCTTTTTCTTGCAAAGGATTTAGAAGTCCTAGTATTTGTATTTCTGGATGTGTCATCAAAGTGTAAACACTTGGCCAAAAGCTAGTTTGTCCTAATCAAGAAACAAAAAGTGTGTTAATTAAGATATATGACATGTTTCCTCTGTGTAAGGGAGACTATCACCGGTACACGGGGAATGAGTTTGTGGAAAAGAATTATCAGTACCTAGACAAAACACTTAAAGTATGTTACCTTACAAACTTCAGTACAAATACATGATTCAATAGTTGCTGTCAGGTTTGATGTATTCTATCTAATTAGATGAAGAAATCACAGTTGTTTTGTTTATATTGAACTAGTTGAGATTGGCAGTTCTGCAGCACACACTAAAGACCTAACAGAAGGCTCCTGAGAACAGTTGGTGTACTTTTCAGACAGAATATTCTACAGACTACAAGGAGATAAGCATTCATCTAAAGCATATGAATTTTAAAGTGTTTTAATGGAACATGTTCTTTCTTTTTGAAGGGATCTGGCTGAAAATGGCTTGTGCTGCTTAACAGCTTCTGCTTGAAATATTCTACCAACCTCTTGTGGCCATTGATCATACAAACATTTTAGTGTAATCTTCCATGCTGAAGATTTGCCTTGATAATATCCCCCACACACTCTGAATTGCAGGTTTGACTATTGCAACTTAATTTTATATAGGGATGAAGCCACAGGCCTGAAAATGCTCTAAATAGTATAAAATTCATCAGCCCATCTACTAAGCAATGGATGTCTCTGTACTGCGGATCCCAACTAGTTAGTTCAGTTTAGGGTCTGTCTCCTGATATTTAAAGCCTTCTGGGACTCTTACCTCTCAGGACAGCTACATTCAGTTGGAACTATGACATTGTGACCAATAGGGAAAGATTCATGAGTGCGGGAGACAAAACTGTAATAGGATCTGGACTGAGATTGTGGAACTGTTTGTCTTAGAGAGTACTCTGTACTCCAAGACTAGTGCTGTTAGTTTTCTAATAGTTTTAAGTTTTTCACTTCTTAATAGCCACACATCATGTAAACTTTTGACTCCGTTAGTTAGGTGCTGCAGTCATTTAAAACAGCAGCTTTATTTCTTACACTTTAATTATGATGATACTGCTTTCATCAAAGCAATATTCATATGATAATGATAGTGTTAAATAGGCTTTATCAAAAGATTGCAACAAAGTTAAATTAATTTTCCCAACTATGCACACACAAATTAAAAATCGAAGAAAAGATACTCTATTACAGCCAGATGTGGATTGTTGGAGTTATGAGCTGAGACTGAAGCTGGTACCATTTTTTGGGCAGTCAGGAGTGCCACAGGTGTTCCATTAGGTTGGAGGTTGGGTCACTTTGATGGTGTTTCTTTCCCATTAGCAAGATTAGCAAAGGATGCAATAAATGAATGGGCAGAAACCATATTTAGAGTAGGTGGGGTGCAGTGTTAAAATCCAAGAGACCCTGAGGCTAGGTTGACTTGAAAGCCACTAGATGTGCAATGTAGAGCAGAAAATAGCAAAAGAGGGACAGACACCAAGAAACAAGTGGACAAAAGCCACATCCTCGTGGTGCGCCTTTGAGTTTTATGTATTTTTCAACATATTATGACATTGAAATAGGGGACAGCTTGCTCTGTACTTTTGTAACCATTATGTCTTGCTCATGTGCTTCAGAGACCGAAATGAAATACATTATTGTTGCAGCTGAGGATATATTGATACTCCTTATTTCTGCAGGTTTAGGGAACATGTGACAACTTTCATATCTAGTCATGCTTACTGCACAATTATTTTCTCATGGATAGTAAAAGTAAACAAGACAAACGGATCCATTTCTGTAATTTCCATTTAATTCAGAGAGTTTTGCATTTTGTAAGGAGTGCAGGATCAAAAATATTCTACCAATCAGCAAATCATACCCAGGTTTTTCAGTTAAATGGCCCACTTGTAACACAAGAATATTTCTGACTGTAAAGGTCATTAATGATTGGTCCAAGCCAGTGGTTTTCAACCTTATTTCGTTTGTGGACCCCTAAAAAATTTCAAATGGAACTGCAGACCCCTTTGGAAATCTTAGACACAGTTTGAAACCCCCAGGGGTCCACAGACCACAGGTTGAAAACCACTGGTCCAAGCAAAGTTATTGCATTGTTCACATGAGCTGACATCTTTCTGAATTTCTAGCTATTGAATAACTAAGACTTACTACCAAAAATGCAATTATTTCAAAAGAGAAATGCAATGACTCAATGCTTGGAGTCTAAAGCACATCATAATTCTCTCCTACAGTTGTTGACATATAGGAGCAGCTGATATTCTTTAATACCAAGCCAAGTATTGTTTAAGTCAAGCGATGTGCAATGCCTGCCTTAGTGCAGTAATTACAATAGGGCAGAGAATTCTGAGGTTTCATAGTAGAAATACTGAAGTCTGTGCTCTTGCATACTGAACTTCTTGGAAAATGAGCAATAAAAAATTGATCCTTTTCTCATGTATGGTAGTAGCTACAGAAGTAAAAAGAGGGATAGTTCTTTGTAAATCCAGTGTACCCAACCAAAACTATACCTTTTAAAGCAGTTAATTCTGATGTTGCTATTGGTTGAAAAGCAAAGTTAAATTAAAATTATTTGAGTTTTATGCTATTACAAGTAAATCCTCAACAGTATGTATGCGGCATATTGAGGAGAGATTAGTTTGTTTTTTGGTTTTTGCTGTAAAGAAAATAGTCTTAATCCTCACTGACACCGAGTCTTGCCTTTTGTTGCTTTTTGTGAAGTAAGCTTTCCCCATCACTGCCGAATAAGGTCTTGTTAACCAGAAGGTTTGTTGTGTTTATCTTCTTGGTAGAAGTTATTCAATTCTAGAGAAGATTTACAGTGGATGTGCAACAGACTATCACATTAATGTGAAATTCCTAAATAGAAATAATTTTGATGTTTAACAGATTATGGGAAAATGACTTTGCTAATTTGGTTTGAGACAAGATTAAATCTACAATCAAATTATTGGAGTTTGTTTTGATCACTTACTGCATACAAGGTGCTCTGCAAAATATCTGTTCCTATCAGTTTCACAAATTTTGTTACCATGGAGATGAACCACAGATCCCCAGTTGTTGGGGGCGTAAGCTATTTGTGTTCATTCAGTAATCGACATCTGTAGGTGTCTGCTAGAGTGCGTCATACAAAGTTGGCGGCTTACTGGAGTGACGCATATCTGAAGAATTTTTATTATTTGTATGGGGGATTTTGGTATTTTAGCATAAGAGACCTGGGAACTTCATAAACTGCTAATTCACTATTTCATTGTCTAATATTTTTTGCTATTTAAAGACGTAAGTGTATTGCTCAGCCTTTCTATATTTGGCCTCAATTGAGTGAAGGTAGGGACTGAGCTAATAGCACCACCTAAAGTTAAGATTGCCTGATTCTTCCCACTATCAGTCCCTGTTTTCAGCTGTTTATAACTTTGCCAAACTTCAGCCATTTTGGGGTGAAATTTTCCATGCACTGAATGAGGCAAGGGTACTGGGGAAAAAATACTACACCAAAATATATAACATATTTGGTCAGAGAAACATGAGGGCATTATTTAAAATCTAAGTGAAAAATAACTTTCTAGTCTGTCTCAGAGGAGAAATAAGCACATCCAGAAACCACATCCAAAGTTTATCTTATAAAAAAAATTCTATAAAACATAACAGTTACAGACACTTTTTGCCATAATAATTTCTCTCAGTTCTAAATCAAACTCAAAAAGGTAAAATCACTAGCTAAAACGTTAAACTCAAAAATGGGAGTGGAGACAGAGGAGTATAATTTTTGTGTCTTATATTAAAATGCAAAAAAAGTGTTTCCTTAAAGTCTCCCTTCCTGATTTCTAGAGATACTAGTGCTTGTAAAACACAGCTGCCTTGATAACATGCAACATATGTTAAGAAGGCTACAAACGAATGCCCTCGAGGTGTACAGTTATTCGTAGGAGCAAAGCCCAGTGGAGAACTGGTCTATTCAATGCTGTTTGATTATCCATGGCAAGGTACAAAGTAATTTTATTGGCAAGTTTGTCAATAGCTCCTTTAACTTAAAGGAGATTTTGAATTTCCTTTGCATGTGGATATTTGAGCTAGACGACAGTAGTGAACATATGAAGAAAGTGGTGGACATGTGAATAGTTCCAAACTAAGCCATCCAAAAAGAAAAAAGGAAAATCTTGAAATTAACACCGTTTGCTACTGTCACATAGTTCTCTCTGCTTATGTATTCTACCTCTTCCCCCACCCTGTGTCTGTCTAGTGTGTTTAGGGGCAGAGACCATCTACTATTCAGTGTTTGTACAATGCCTAGTACTATGAGGGCCCATTCTTGGTTGGCCCTTAGGCACTACCACAGTGAACATGACTAATAACTTCTGCTGCGTAATGTCGCTGTTGGCAGCTAGAACAAGATTTGTCCTTCGGCTTGCTGATCTGTGGGCAGCATTTTTAGTTTTAGATATATGTCTACTTTAAAAGCAGCTTGCCTTGCCTCTTCAGGTTTAGTAGAGAACAGAGTGTAGCATTAGGATATTGCTACTCTCCTGTTCCTTTGTATTACTGAACCAACTTTTCATAAAAAGTCTCTGGACAGACTTTTGTTTGTTTCTAGGCCATTTCAGGTTATCTAAGGGCTAGTCTAAACCGGCAATGCTAAAGCGCTGCCACGGCAGCACTTTAACGTGCCTTGTGTGTTCACGGCACAGCTCTAAAAAAACCACCTTCACCAGGGCATAGCTTCCAGCGCTGTGAGTGCAGCTCCCAGCGCTGGTGCACTGTCTACGCTGGTGCTTTACAGCGCTGAAACTTGCTGCGCTCAGGAGAGTGTTTATTCACACCTCTAAGACAGAAGGTTGCAGCGCTGTAAATTGCCAGTGTAGACAAGCCCTTACCTAGGCTAGCACGGGTGTCCATCACAGGTCTCCATAACTGGTAATCTTACAGGCTGTCTTAGCAGGGTAGTCAAGGACTGAATGGCTTGTAGAAACTGAACTACTGTCACATACTCAGAGGTGGTCTTGTCAGGTCAGAATTCAGGCACACTGGTTGGGCAGCATGGGAGAAGCGTTCGTCGCCGCTGCATGTGCAGTGCTCTCATTGGCACTTCACTAATTTGAGGGATAAGTATAGGATTTCTGCCTCCAGGTTTTGTCAGTTGAAGACTTTTCACCAGAACTAAAACTTATGTTGGAAAAATACTTGAGAATGTGGAAATAGAAGTACTCTTATTCCAGAAAGATTGCACATAATCTCTTAATGCAGAATTTTAATCACCTGTTAAAAGCTCTTTTCAGGCTTAATATTGCCTTTTTTGGTAATTAAAACAATTAATTTGCATTTCTAATCTGCTTCTCTTTAGAAAAGCAGTAAATGTGGAGAGTACATTAATCCTTTGGCTTCTGCACACCTGGCCTTGATTCTCTGCAAAGTCTTAATGTCTGTATTCATACTGTACGTGGTATGTCTTGTGACACTGGGTTGCATTTCCTTGGTGAGAGTGCCTCTTCGCAGCAGCAGTTCCCAACCTCTTTGGCAATTCCAATGGACCTGTTTGTGCCAGCAACCTGTTGAAATCCTTTGCATCCTACCTAAGGACAAACACAAGTGCTTGTGACATCAGAGTTCATTAATTCAGAAATGAGCTATTTATGTAGTGGTAGATGGAGAATGAGGAAAAGTGGGGCAAGGAAGGACCTCCATTTCTGAAATTCCACCATCCCACAACCAAGATATCTGCTAGCTGCTTCTTCTGGCTACTTGGATACTATATTAGATAAGAACCTAGAGAGAGAGAAACATTTACTTGGTTTAAATGCAATTTAGGAGTCTTCTGCCTGGTGGGGAGAGACTACAGTAATGATGTAATTGCCTGGACTGACATGCGGTCTCATTTTCTAAGCCTTATATCAAATAGACTCATTTTCCTATTGCTTCATGGACTTGAAAAGTACCTCTTGTTATATACACAAGCTGAATGCCACAAGTTAGGTCAAGAAATGTAGGAAAAACGTTTACAGTCTAAACAGTGTTTAAGAACATAGAATCCATTTATCCTAACTGCAGTTTGACTAGGTCACAACAGTCTAACTCTCAAAGTGCTTTTGGATCTTTAATGAGCCATTGATTAGTCATGATCTTGCTTTTACATTTTATCCAAAAGACCGCGTCTTCAGCAGAGGGGTGTCCTTACACACCGTCTTTTGGTTTTGGTTTCAAACTATCTAAAGGAAGGATGTCATAATCTGAACACCACCACTTACTCAAGCACCCTGTGTATATGGAACATCCTTTCAAATCCTGATGAGGCTCAAGATAGTCTTCTCAAAAACTAAACTAGTATACTGTATGGTTGCAGATCTTGATTGCTCAATACTAAGCTGTCACAAAACTTTCTAATAAGTTTTTGAAGAAAACTTGAGTGCTGCAAAACATACACTTGAAGCTCACTTTGAATAAAAATCAGATGATTTGTTTGATTCTTTGGCTTTCCAAGATGACTGTTTTCTTCCTTCTTGTGTTTTTCCTTTCCCCTTAGTTTCTGCCACTGCCTTCTACAAAGCACAACCTGTAATTCAGTTCATGTGTGAAGTTCTTGACATTCATAACATTGATGAACAACCAAGACCTCTGACTGATTCTCATCGGGTAAAATTCACCAAAGAGATAAAGGGTGAGTAGAAAGTTATCTCTAATCAGCATGGAACAGATTGTGTTTAATGTGCCCAGAAGGTTAGTTATGACAGACACATTAACTGAAAGTTTCAGAACTAATATAACCTGGATCAAAAGTGAGTGTGTCCAAAATAATTGCAATATTTACTGTATTTAGATCTAAAATTAATACATGAGCTTCATGGCTCTTTAAATTGTCTGCAAAGCCCAACAAAGATGAAATACTAGATAAACTCTGACACTTTAAAGGTCAAATAGTAAGACTGCTTATTATAATGAATGTACCAAAGCAATCACGTTGCTGGATGGCTGACTCTTATTTGGGAGATAATGTCAGTAGTACAAACACTCCTGCTGCTATTTAAATGCTGAGGCAAAGCAAATATATTGGTTTTCAAACCTGGAGTCATTGATTGTCTGCCAATATTTTATTAATATAACTTTTATATCAATTGTGATATAACAGGGATAGCTCAGTGGTATTTGCCAACCTTGAGGGGGGGACAAATTCCATCTTGAAGAATTGATTTAGTTGGTGGAAGTTTGGGTAGTTTCGTTACATACACTACTTTGGTGTCTGCTTTCACGCTTCTTTGCACTCCAGTGTACAGAGTAATTTGCAGGGGTAAGACCTTGTTAGGAGGGTTTGAGCAGAGTCCTTCCGGACATTTTTTTCTGTCACTGCAAGAGTACATTCCATTTAAGAACCAATCAGTTTAAAAGGTAAGGTACAGCCAGTCAGACCCCTGTGTTTGTAAAATCAAGAAATTTTTTTAAAAACCGTACCTTTAATGGATAAATTATTTTGTAACTGGCTCAAACACAAATTTTTCTGTTTTTAAATCAGTCAGAATGCAGCATGTCTAACTGTACAGTGAGCAGCTGTCACTCTACTTCACCAACACATCTCAGTCATTGTAATAGAAATAGCCACTGTAAGAAAACACTGCAAGGTAAATTAACCTTGGTTGTTAATATTTATTTGTATTATAGTAGTACTTAAGGGCCCCAAATAAGATCAGAGCACCATTGTGCTAAGCACTGTGCATATATATATATACTAAGACAGTCCCTGCCCTGAAGAGATTTCAATCTAAATAGACAACAAAAGGTCAGAGGGGAAACAGTCTGAGAGGTGAAGAGATTTTCCCAGTGTCAGAATACATCACTGTGAATAGAACCCAGTTCTCTTGAATCCTAGTCCAGTATCTTGTCTATTGGACCATAATGCTGCCTCATCCATTTTTCATGTCCCTGAAGGCAGAGAATGTGCCTATCCTATGACACTACCATCACGGTATCATTTTTATGTAAATATCAATGTTGCATTGTTATGAGGAATTAATAGAGTAGAGTTAACTTCGATTACCAAATACTTACTAGAATGCCAATGGGATTTCTGTGAATTTACCAGCTGGATACCATGGAATAACATGAATCAATTCATGCTAACTGTGCAAACAACTCCTATAGCTATGTTGCAAAAGAAGATAGAAAGCATATAGAGTCAGGATTCTGCTCATGCTTAAAGAGCATGGACTAGATCTTAACTTCAGCTACTTAAGATTGTACAGAAAACTAATGACAATCTCTAGAATTTAGAAATATTGATTTTTAATGAAAATAAAGCAAGTTAGTCAAAATGCTGATTAAAGCTAATGGATATAAGTGGGGGAAATCACCTAGTTTAAAAATTACTTTCCTATCTTACTTATCCCCTTGGTACAGATATGGTTCCTCAGTCCTAGGGTGCATTGGAATTGGTCACCAGGAGCAAAAAGGGCATTGCTGTCCTTTGAGAACCTGAACAGAAAACTATATTTTGAATCCAGACTTCAGTCTCCATGAGGCTAGTCTCACTTATCTTAAAATTAATATAATAGCTTCAACTGAAATTATAAATTACTTTGAATTGCATGTATTGTAGCTAGGATTTATTTTTAAAAGAAACTCATGGTTCTCCACTATTAGAAATATTTTTGAAGTGAGCTGTAGCTCACAAAAGCTTATGTTCAAATAAATTTGTCTCTAAGGTGCCACAAGTACTCCTTTTCTTTTTACCTCTTAAATGAAAGTCAGAAATCAAATAATGCATTAAATGCAGAACATGAGTTTCTAACACTGCCATAAGATCATTGTATCTATTTGACACTCAAGAGTTCTTGACTCTATTATGCGTGTACTCTTATAAGAAACGTATGCAAATGCTTAACATGTGTATGTTGCATGACATTGGTTTTTCTTGTTGCTTTCATACAGGTCTGAAGGTTGAAGTGACTCACTGTGGAACAATGAGACGGAAATACCGTGTTTGTAATGTAACAAGGAGACCTGCCAGTCATCAAACGTAAGAAGACATTTGTCAGAGTGGAGAATGTGTAGCAGCTTGCTTGCCCTAACACCAAATACTTGGAGGGACTGAGAGTTTATTAAAATCATTTTGGAGAACTCTGGTAGCTGGTAGTTAAACTTTCAATGCTATTTTGACTAAAACTCTTGTGTTGTCTTTCCAGCTTCCCTTTACAGTTAGAAAACGGCCAGACAGTTGAGAGAACAGTAGCACAGTACTTCAGAGAGAAGTATAACCTCCAGCTGAAATATCCTCATCTTCCTTGTCTACAAGTGGGACAGGAGCAGAAACATACCTACCTGCCTCTAGAAGTAATGGTTCTGATAAATCGGTGTTAGTCCAGTAGCATCTTTTTGCAGAGTGTTAATTTATTTCTCATGCAATATAAGCAGTTTAGCATATTTGTATATGTGTTGTCATTCTTATTGTTACTGCTTTTGTTTTACTATAGATGGAGGTAAACGTTAAGACAGACAAACTTTTCCTTTTATTAGTATGGATACCAATCAAGTCACTATGAAAAATAGATTTAAGTATCAGCTACATGTATATAGAAGATTTGCCTGTACAGACGCCCCCCAGACTTACGCAATTGTTCTGTTCCGGAAAGCCTTGCGTAACTTGAAAATTTTGCGTAAGTCGGAAACGTATACCCGTACGTTATGCAAAAATTTCCGTAACTCGAAAATCCTATTTCTGACTTATGGAACTTTTTCCGTAAGTGCGAATTTGCGTAAGTCGGATCTTGCATAACCCGGGGAGCGTCTGTAGTCACTGCATAATTCCCTGTGTAGTAATAGGAATGCTGCATCTGTAAAGACTGCAATTGTATCTGCCAATTTTTTTTATTTTTTTTAAGGTATGTAACATTGTGGCAGGCCAGCGATGTATCAAGAAGCTAACAGACAATCAGACATCAACCATGATCAAAGCAACAGCAAGATCTGCCCCAGATAGACAAGAGGAAATTAGCAGATTGGTTAGTTCATAACTTCTGTATCAGAGGATGAGCATGTTCATCTTCACTAAATTGCCTTGTGCTTGTGAAGACAATTACATTTCTCTATACACTTACCCTGTCTCTGTCCTTTGCTACTAAAACCTCTTACTTTATTCTCAGATAAATATCCTAAAGGCTCCTGCTCCCATGACTCCTCTGAGTCCTCCCATTAAATAGAATATGTAGGTCAAGCATTCAGGCCAACCTCCCTGTTCCATAATCTTCACATACCACGTGGCCACCAAAACTTGTTTGGTACCTCCCTTCCAGCATTTGGAACCCTCCTTGATTTTATTAACAAAAGTTTTTAAATTAGACATCTCTAATTAGAGGATTAGAGGTGTGGTCTGAGCCCAGGACTGAAATGTTAGGGACTCCTGTGTTCTAATCATGGACCTTACACTGGCTATTTTGTACCTGATTCAGCAAAGCACTGAATCATGTGCTTAATGTTAAGCAGCTGACATCTCCCATTGGAGTCAATGGAACTTCAGGTGCTTACAGTTAAGCATATGCTGGTGTTTTGCTGGAATGAGACCTTAAATTTTTGATGTTATCAACAATCTGAAAAATGAACAGAGTTCTTAACTGCTTTACAGGGATGTTCTGACAATTAATATATGTAAATTGCCTACCTACCTCCGGTGCTTATCTGCCCCCTCCCATTCCCATATTATCTGAACATCTCGCAATCTTTAACCTTTTGATATACTCTGAACACTGCTGTGAGGGAGAGAAGTAGTATTATATCCCTGTTTTACAGATGGAGGGAGCTAATGTACAGAGACTAAGTAATTTGCCTAAGGTTCTACAGGAAGCCTGTGGCAAACAGGAAGTTGAAACTGTTTCCCATGTCCCAGGCAAGCACTCTAGCCAGTGGGCAATATTCGTCCTCAATATATGCTAAATAGCACCACTTGACAGTCCTGTGTTTTTCCCTCTTTCTGCCTGACAGAACCAGCCTTTCTAAAAAACATTAACCTTTTCCTGACTTGGAACTGTTGGAAATATCTCGTTTTATTTGACTAACATCACAAAAAATTAAAGGACAACTTCTATTTGAAAAAGGTGTTTTTGAGCTGACAACTGAAAATTTGTGTTTGATAGGAATAAGGCTCTTCTGAAAGATGCTGAAAAGGCTAATTCACGATACTCTCTTGACTGCTGATATTCAAAGGGAACTGAAAACAGTTGGGTTTTCATAACTTAGTTTGTCCTTTGCTATCCACTGAGGGCAGCAAAAAATTTGCTTTGATGAATGCCGTGAGTACACATGTTGTGGAGTGACTAAACATCAAGTGACCATTTTCACACTGACTTAGTAATATAATAGTAAAACTGAATTTTAGGTACCTTTTTCAAATAGTAGTAAAATTTCATGTTATACCTGCAAGCAATATACAGAATAGAGATGAAATTTATAATTAATTGATACTTTTATACTTTAGCAAGATAATGAGATTTACCTAAAATTTTTGAAGCATCATTGTCATGCATGCTAGATACTTTTCAATACAATACACTTTTTATCCAAAATATTTGCAGCAGCAAAAATTGAATAAATTGGTGTTTGGGTAACTGAAGGGAACAAGTAAGATCTCATGTCATGGGGCAAGTGGTCTGAATGAGAGTTTTGGTTAATCAATGGCTGGGTGAATGAGGTTGGACAGTTTTTTATGATCCTTAGTTTTTGTTGTTAGTGAAAAGGAGGACACTTACCAGAACGCTTATGCAGCTCTGTTATTGGTGATTTTATTTGTAGATGCAGATTAAAAATTGAAGAGTTTTTGTAACGTGGAAACTTCTCCTTTCCCCAGGTAAGAAGTGCAAACTATGATGCAGATCCATTTGTTCAGGAGTTTCAGTTTAAAGTTCGGGATGAGATGGCCCATGTGACAGGGCGCGTGCTTCCAGCTCCAATGTTGCAGTATGGAGGACGGGTGAGAATTTTGTTGTTTTTCCTTTTTTTATATCTTGCTGTACAATAAACCACAGATGACTCTCCATGTAAAACTGAAAACTTTGGGAGAGCTCAGTTCCCTTGTAATATTGCAGCAGCTCAGAATTTGATTGTGATTGCAAGGGCTGTTTTCCTAAAATAGAAAATAGTGGGTTTTTTCTCTCACTGTTTCAATCAGTTGAATATCAGCATATTTCTTCTATCTCCGTAGAATCGAACAGTGGCAACCCCAAGCCATGGCGTATGGGATATGCGAGGGAAACAGTTTCACACTGGTGTTGAGATCAAAATGTGGGCCATAGCTTGCTTTGCAACGCAGAGACAATGCAGAGAAGAAATACTGAAGTAAGGCATGTCATAGTTCAGGCATTGTACCATTCTTTCAGTGAACCCATCAGCTTCAAAATTCTAAGATGAAAAGGAGGACTTGTGGCACCTTAGACTAACAAATTTATTTGAGCATAAGCTTTTGTGAGCTACAGCCCACTTCATCGGATGCATTCACGAAAGCTTATGCTCAAATAAATATGTTAGTCTCTAAGGTGCCACAAGTCCTCCCTTTCTTTTTGCAAATACAGACTAACACGGCTGCTACTCTGAAAATTCTAAGATGGCACTGCTACCTATCCAGTGCCCATTCTAGCCTAGTGTTCAGGCTGGGGTAGGCATTAGATTTGGAACACAAAACTACTTCTTTACTTCTGTGTTGGAGTTAGGAAAATCTACCATCTTTGCAGCTGAAACTGTACTTCGATATGGTGCATTAAGTGTTTCTCCTTCTGTGGTGTTGCTACGATGGGGCATGCTACTTAGTGCGTTTGTCCTAAAGCATACCTTATGCAGTCCTAAAGCCCTATAAAGTTTGCCCTCTCTAACCTTTCATAATGGTATTTTAAGACTGATCCTTCTAATCAGAGTACAGTGCTGCCATAAGAGCCCATCAGCACTCTGCTTAGTTTCCCTTGAGCAGCACACATTTTTTTCTCTCCCCTTCCACTTTGTCTGCTAGATGTGGATGCTGTTGTTGAAATTCAGTAAACTGCGTTCTGTTTCACTAGGGGTTTTACAGATCAGCTGCGCAAGATTTCGAAGGATGCAGGGATGCCGATCCAAGGCCAGCCATGTTTTTGCAAATATGCACAGGGTGCGGACAGCGTGGAGCCAATGTTCCGACACCTTAAAAACACCTACTCCGGACTCCAGCTCATCATTGTCATCCTGCCAGGGAAAACACCTGTGTATGGTAAGGGAATAACATAAGGGGAGGGGTATATGTTTTTGCTCAAGTGTGCTAGTTGGTGTACTTGCTCCTCAGCTTGTAAGAGGCTAAATTCTAGATGACTGTCCTTTAGTCATCCGAAACCAGATGCTTTATCGTAAGCTGTAAGGAACTGGAAGACAGGTCATGGCATGCATTTGAATTGGAAGTTGACAGGGCAGAATGTAAATTTGACTAATAGTGGCTTTGGCTGCATTCTGTTCTCTGCCTGAATTTCAAACAGGCTTAAAAATCTTAATACATTTTAAAAAAATGTAAATTAATGCTTGCTTCTCAGCGGAGGTGAAACGTGTGGGAGATACGCTGTTGGGGATGGCCACGCAGTGCGTTCAAGTCAAGAATGTCATTAAAACATCTCCTCAGACTCTCTCAAACCTGTGCCTAAAGATTAATGTTAAATTAGGAGGAATCAACAACATTCTTGTACCTCATCAACGGTAAGAATCTCTAATGGGGGCCAATCTGGGATTTATTCTTGTGTCTATTTTCAGTTTGATATTTAACATCCAAAATTAACCTTTGGAAAGGGGGTTAAGTGCAAAATGGTATGTTGTTTGTGAAACCAAAGATGCTGCTCTTGGCATTACAACATTGCATCTCACAGCACATCCTGGTTCAGCAGTGGCCTCCAGGATTCATAGAATCATAGAATATCCGGGTTGGAAGAGTCCTCAGGAGGTCATCTAGTCCAACCCCCTGCTCAAAGCAGGACCAATCCCCAACTAAATCATCCCAGCCAGGGCTTTGTCACGCCTGACCTTAAAAACTTCTAAGGAAGGAGTTTCCATCACTTCTTCCTATCTGATCTGGTAAGTGGAGACTTGGGTCATATTGAAGCTCTCCCCAGTAGGTGTCAAAATGGCTGTTAAGTCTCTGAATCGGAAGGTTGTAAATCAAATCCCCATTTGAGATGTTGGGTCACTACCCAGTACTTGAGGAGAAATGAATGAGAGGAGATCCTGGTGTTCTAGAGGTATTGTTTTTGAATGGAAGTATTAAGTTAAGATTCCATCTGGAGAGGCTGTCTGGGTAGAAGTGTAGGATACCACATCATTCTTCAGAGAAGATCACAGTGCTCAGCCAACAGACAAATCCTGCTCTCCTGTGTGCTGTTAACAATGGCAGAGGATGTACTATGGGTCTTTCACCTCCTGCTGCTGCATAATAAGTCCTCTAGATCCTCCTCCTGCTAGTGTATGATGGTTCGGTATACTGTATTCAAATGCTTTGTCCCAGTCAATTTTAAATGTTTCAAGTGACGAGGCTGCTTCTACCTTGCTTATGAGACCTTTGTTCTAATAGATCTCACTGATTAGAAGCTTCTCCTGATAATGGCTCACTGGCCAGGGTCACTGTACTACTAGTCTAGTCTGTAAACATTTCCACTATCTTAGAACAAACAGTCTACTGCAAGCAGAGACCTTAGTATCCACCCTGGAGACTGAGCATTTGGCCACCTTAGCTCCAAGTGTCACTAGAACAGATTTATTCTTGGAAAAAGTGGAGTATGCAGAAGGTAATGTGGTGGTCCAGAATAACCTCTTGCAAGTTCTCTCTGGAGACTGTTTCTGAAAGCTCTGTGCCCAGGTATCGATAGCCAAAGTGACACATGAAGCACATAGTCCATTCTCTAGTCCCATGAGAATGGATTGCAAGCGTTAACATGCCTCCTTGCTACTCATACCACATCACCCAGAACAGTGTGTACTCTAGCTATGTTTTCTGGCATTGTACAGTGTACATTGTACAGTGCCTTAGCACAATGGAGCTCCATTCTTGATTGGCCTCTAGGTACTACCCTAATCAACATGATTGATAACAATCATATGTCTTTGTAGAGAATTATTTTGAATTATTTTAACCATGCATCGTGGTTTTTAAACTAATTTCTGTAATAGCATTGTATTAGCAGTAAACAGGGATGTATTTTGGAATGACTATTAGAGTGTTTAGGAAAAGTTCACCACAATGTGCCTGACACTGATTGTGTTGTCTAAACATAGTCTTCTGAATGTCTGGTAGAAATGTCATCTCCTTTACTACCCATACTCAAGTTAAGAAACAAAAATCAGGATTTAGAAGTTTAATTGTAGGTGAATGGCTGGTGCAAGGTTGACTTGTCACTTTTTTTTGTTTTTAAAGACCTTCTGTGTTCCAACAACCGGTGATCTTCTTGGGAGCAGATGTCACTCATCCGCCTGCTGGGGACGGAAAGAAGCCTTCCATTGCTGCTGTAAGTCCTATGAAATTGTCTTAGTTCTCATATGTTATGAAAAGGTGAGAATAGAAAATGCAGCTACATTTATGAGAGGACTGAAACGTCATAAATTAATTCATCGACTTTTGATGTGGCTTTCATTTTCCTTTGTATATTCCAGTTCTCCACATACAGAAATCAGATATCTTCTTGAAGACAAAAGTACTGCTTAAAATTTCCGATTAATGCTTTTTAGTGTTCTAATATACTTATTGAAGATGACATTATGTCAGTGGTGCTATTAAATAATAGTTCTATGAGAGAACATAACTGAATTGTAAGTGCTCTAAATTCTGAAAAAAAACATGCATCTCTAATAGTTAAACTAACAAAATGCTGCTGTTTATATTTAAACAAAGATGATTTTATGAGACTGGTGTTGGCAGGAAGTTCTTCAATAATTTTCTGCTTTTCAGCCTGGGAAGGACAAGTGGGCTGTAAGGCAAAATCTTTAGACACTTGGGTACCCATGCTGCTCTTTGCTACGTTATCTGCTATATTTCCCAGAATGGAAGGGGGACTATTCAGAGTTCCTAATGAAGAAGCAATGAACCAGGAGGAGTTTTTTCTTGAATTACTAAAGTGGGGGTAGAAGAGGAAATATTGCACTGCCAACAAAAGAAGAATAATAATTCCAAGGCAGATATAAAATAGGTTTTTTGTGAAGGGCTGGTAAAAGGCAAGTTTCAAACATGTTCCTGTAAAAGGTTTAAGATTTCTAAACACACATCTTACAATAAATTCTGTGCCATTTGCTTAAATGATCTGACTATTCTCTTCTTAAAACAAACCTTTAAATTTAAAACCTCTTCACTTTTCCCTGGTAAAATACTTTGTATCAATTCCACATGGATCTTTCACATTCTCATTTCCTCCCCCTCTCCCCCCGCACACATATAGGTTGTAGGTAGTATGGATGCTCATCCAAGCAGATATTGTGCCACAGTGAGAGTTCAAAGACCTCGGCAGGAGATTATCCAAGATTTGGCCTCCATGGTAAGAGAACTTCTCATCCAGTTCTACAAGTCAACACGATTCAAACCCACACGTATCATCTTCTACAGGGATGGGGTTTCTGAAGGACAATTTCGACAGGTTCGTTACACTTGAATTTTTTACTGTGGTAAGATTTGAATTGAGCAATGTTATAGTTCCATTTTTCACACTCAGAGTTAAGATGTAGCACCACAATGTATTGGCTACGCTTCTTATGGAAGCGTGAAATCCCAACTAGGGAATCCCATTAGGTGGAAACTGCTTGGAATTCTTGGAATTCTGAGGAAAGTAATGATATATTCTATCAAATGGATGAAAAATGTGTTTCCTTGTTGAGAAGCTGACCATTTAGAGCCATAGATGAGTATAGACTTCCTACAAATTACTAATATTGCATAACAGACATGAGACAAGTGTTAACTACAGAGTGCTATTTACTAGACACAGTGTTCAGAGTACAATGTAAGAGTCAATTAATCTATTGTTTCTGGCCTGTAGGTGTTGTATTATGAGCTGCTAGCAATTAGAGAGGCTTGCATCAGTCTGGAGAAAGATTACCAGCCAGGAATAACCTACATCGTAGTACAGAAACGACATCACACGCGATTGTTCTGTGCGGACAGAACTGAAAGGGTAATCCTTAGCCCATTCCAGTGTACTTGCCTATGTGAAAAGGTTAAGGAAGAGAAGATTGTGCTAGTATTTTTGCTAACTGTACAAATGTACAAACTGTACAAAATCCACTTCATGTATTCCTCACATTCAAAGGAGATGCTCAAGATTGACAGGTGCAAAAAATGATCCCCAACTTATTTTGTCTTTGAAGATCTTATTTTATTTTATTCTAAATTCAGTTGTAAAACTTCAGCTGATGACCCTGGGCAGTTCTTGTAGAATTCCAGGTGTTTGTGTCATTTAGAAGAAAGCTAAATATCTTGAAATACTATTTGATACAGGCTCTAAAAAGATGTTAAATACAAGAGAATGTGAAACCATAAAGGACTTTATTTCAGTCAAGTTTACTTGTTTTCTGAGTGATCTAATGCAGACTGGATGGGTACACAGACCAAAATATACATAGTTAAATCTTTAAGTACTTCCCCCTTCTGAAGACAGGTGGAGCTGAAAGTGCTGTGGATGCAGCATGCTTAACTTTAGAGAGAAGAGGGGAGTGCTTTGTCCAGAGCAAACATCCCAGATCATTACATTTGCTTATTCGAAAGGGAGGGGTTACGGTGCGGGCTCCATTTACTGAATGCTGTATACTCTGAATGGATTGTTGTGTTTTAAAGTTACGATCGGATGACATAAGAACGTCATAATTTTTTATTGCTTTATTTTCTGAAAAATTGACTAGCTAATATTGCTTTCATCAAAACACCTCTGTAGGTTGGAAGAAGTGGCAACATTCCAGCTGGAACAACTGTAGATACAGATATTACACACCCATATGAGTTTGATTTTTACCTCTGTAGTCATGCTGGAATACAGGTAAGATTCCTTCCTTTATAAATGAATACATTTGGCTACAGCAAGTATTTTTTTCCTTTTTTGAAAATATACCTACACACACACACAACTGTATGTTAGACAAACATCTTCTCGTTCTGTTTCCTTGAGAGCTGTGAAACCTGTCTCTGGGACCAGCACTACCAATGACTTACTTAACTGAGCTGTTAGGTACCTTTTATTTTCATAATCTGTTTTGATGTGAGGTTGGCTCATTTGAAGAGAAGTAATGAACCCTCCTCATATACATTAGGAAAATAGAACACTATGTTAAACATATTTAGTTGTAATGAAATGAACACTGTTTGTGTTTGAGAACTTGATTCAATTTGAGGATTGAAAGCAGCCTTGAAAATTAGTTGATTTAAGCCTAGACTGATGGTAAACTATAGGATAATAAAATTGAATCTAGCAGTTTGGTGTTGCTAGCAGTGCAATGGGGATCCAACTTAATGAGGCAAATTGCATCAAAATACTGAGTTCAGAAGAATGGAAGAAGTTAAACTCTTCAGAGTTTTAAGTTCTGTTCTTTATGAAATCTTTGACCAAACTGCAGGGAATTTTGGTGGCATGCAGCAAGTATATTCTGAGGTTTTTTTGTTTGAATCACTGATTGCTCTAAACAAAGATAGGTACTATGTTTGCCCTTCTCCCATCCTCCAGGATTTTACGCATCTTCCATGAGTTCTCAAAAATAATTGTTAATGGTTTCCGAGATTACTTCTACTAGTTCCTTAAGTATCCTAAGATGAACTTCATCAGACCCTGCCTGATGGATTTAGTTTACCCAAAGGAAGGGTAGGAGGGTGAGTTAATCATGGTTTAGAAGTACCTACATGAGGAGATTTCTGGTAGTGGTGGGGAAGCTGATAAATTTAGCAGTGACATAATAAGCTCAAATGGCTCGGAGCTGAAGCTAGACAAATTCAGACTAGAAATAAGGTGCAAATTTTTAAGTGGTAGTAACTAACAATTGGAACAATTTACCTAATGTGGTGTGCATTCTGTCACTTGAAGTATTTAAGAGATACTGTTGTTCAACCAGAAGTTATGGGCTAGATGTAGGAATTGCTGGGTGAAATTCTCTGGCTTGTATTATGCAGGAGGTTAGACTGGATGATCATAATAATTTCTCCTGGCCTTAAAGTCTGACTTGACACATATGAGAGAGCCAGACAAGTGAACTGATATTCCCTTCTCCATAGGGTACCAGCCGTCCCTCACACTATCATGTTTTGTGGGATGATAACTGTTTTACTGCAGATGAACTTCAGCTGCTGACTTACCAGCTCTGCCACACATATGTGCGTTGCACACGATCTGTTTCTATACCTGCACCAGCGTATTATGCTCACCTGGTAGCATTCAGAGCAAGATACCATCTTGTGGACAAAGAACATGACAGGTAAGTGAAAACACAAGTGCTTATATTTATATCCTCTTTCAGCCCTCAGCCCAAAACCCTTTCCATGGTGTCAGGCTTTAGACTATCTGACTAGATCAGCAGTTCCCAAACATTTTTGCTGCATGACCTCATTTTCACAGGTACTGCTTCCTGTAATCCCAGACAGTCTGGAGGATGCTGATTAAAAAAGGCATCCTCCATGCAGCGTGGCCTTTCACACACCATTTGTGCAAGGTCATGCTGCATGGAGGACGCCATTTTGCTTTACAAAATGGCATTCTCTGCACAGTGTGCCCTTGCACACACATGGTGTAAGATCACACTGCATGGACAGTAGGGGAGAAGGGGGGCTTTTTTTGTAGAGCAAAATAGCATCCTCCATGCAGCATGACATCGCATGTACAATGCATGTGAGGTCATGTGTGAAAGATGTCATTTTGCAAAATGGCATCCTCCGCACGCTCAGGATTGCCACAACCCCATCTGCTCACGGTGGAGTGACCCCACTTGGGGTCGTGACCCACAGTTTGGGAACCACTGCTGTTGATGATACACGCTGAGCAGTAGCTTAATTTATCACCTGTGGGGCTGGCCTTCAAACACATTTCCTTACTACTACCACTATACCTAAGTGTATAGTGTGGTGTTCAATTTCTGTTATATAAAGTATTTAAAGTTTAAGATTTTAAAGAAAGTTTTTGTTTAATGAACATTGTTACCTGGAGATGGGCCAAAAGACTCATGTGCATTAAATTCTAATCCTGAAACCAGAAATACTGCCATGAATGAGGTGAGTGGTAATAATGCTTTCCCCTTGTCGAATTCCTTTCATTTTAAGGTTTCAAAGTGCTTTATAAATATTAAGCCTCAAAAGCACCAGGCAGGGTAAGAAGTAGTATACATATTTTATGGATGGGCTAGCCAAGCTACAGAGGTGAAGGGACTTGCAGAAGCCATGAAGTCACTGACAAAGCTGAGTAGACCCCAGGAGTTCTCACCGTACTCTGCTCTAAAAAATTGTCACGTTCCCTTCCTGAGTGTTGAAATAATGCAGTGCTGGTAAATAATGATGGCCATTCAAATTGAAAGGGTTTCTGCTAGTTTTAATATTTCTCGCTTTGTTTTGCAGTGCTGAAGGAAGCCATGTTTCAGGACAAAGCAATGGGAGAGACCCACAGGCCCTTGCTAAGGCTGTACAGATTCACCAAGACACCTTACGCACCATGTACTTCGCTTAAATAAATCAATAAAATCGGAGCATACTCACCGAAAGGAAGAACTGAAAAATTAAGCCACATACAATGTATGTTTCCGGTGGGGTCAGTTTATGGGGTGCGCCTCCGATCATGCTGAAGCCGACACTGTGCAGGGGCAAGGGGCTAATCCTTAAATTGACACGAGGAGGATTGTTTACTTCATCGAGGAACACAGCACTATTATGCAATATGAAACCAGCCAACTGCTTTTTTGGGGCGGTCTTCTGTAGGAAGTGCCGTTGTCATCAGTTATTTTTTTTATTTCTTGTAGTCTAACCCTTTTATGCCTTTACCTCAAGTTGCTTGGCAGCACAACTATCTTTGCAAAAAAAGTTAATGATGTAGTTAAAAAAAAAACACAAACGACCTATAGAGCAATCACAATGATTGTTGAGGGGGGGAAGTGTGCAAGAAATAGCCTTTTGTCTTTACCCAAATGCATTGAGGAGGCTTTCTCTCATTTTTGCCATCAGCATTTGAATGGGAACATATCCAAGTACATTTCAATGTACAGCACTAACTAGAAAAATTAGGGGAAGGGTTTTACACACATTGGTCCATTAATCTGAACGTAATTTAGCCAACTGCTGCCTTTGTGTCTTTCTTCACAGTTTGGAGTCCTCAACTCCAATAGCTCCCTTTAAAAAAAGCTAGTGGTGTCTGTGCAGCAGTAGTGATCCAAACTCTTCTTGCTCCCTGGTGAGTTTACTAAAGCTGCTGTTTTACCTTGTCCAGAAGTTTCAACTAATGCTCTATCTGGCAAGTCGTAAATATATTTTGAGCTTCATGCAAGATCCGATGTTCCTTGTTTTATGGGTTACACACAGTAAACACCAGAAACAAAACTTTAGAGTTGAGGTCTTTATTTGCTAGTTTACTTGCTGCCTCTTACACCTTAATGTGATTTCATACATATGTGTGTGTTTTTGAAGTTTAGCTTCTTTTTCTTTTATATTTATTAGAATAATAATAATGCTTTAATTTAATTATTACAGAACATATGGGCAACATCAATTTTTATTTTTAGAAATGTAACCATGTTTATTTTAAAAAAACAACTGACAACTTGTTTTTGCTATCTTTTAGTGCAATAAGCCGTTCTAAAGGAAAAATGTGTCCGTTTAGCTGTATTAAAGCGGCGTTTGTACCACTAACTGTGGGAGAATGGACACCTCCACAATTTTAAAAGGACAAAGTAAAAGCCTTAATTTCAAAAGGAAAGTTTTATAGTCCTCAGGAGTCATGCATGTTCCTTTTCTAAATCAAACCAGCTAAGAACAGCAAAACCTTTGCTTCTAGGATTCTGCAAGCTTTAATATTGGCAATCAATGCAGTATTTTGATTTAACAAAGGAATTGTGTACATTTTTGGGTTTAAGAGACTGCAGTTATTTGAACTCAAGTGAAGACTTTTCATTGAAGATCCAGGTTTTCAGATGCTTTCTTTAATGTAGCTGACATTAATCATAAAAAATGTCTTAAGAAGTTAATGAAGTTCTTAAGCAATTTTTGCTTATTTCATATTTAGTGGCTTTCCTTTTAAAATTAAGGTGTTGGTGGCTTCATTTCACTTTACAAATAAATTAAGAGGGCTGGGATAATTTTAACAAGTTAAATCACTGAAATGTGAAACAAAACATTAATGGGACTTTTGTTCATTCCACTTTAAAGTTAAAACAAGTATTTTAAAGATGATAGAGATGAGCATGTATTCAGTACGTCTGGGCATCGGGGAGTTTTGCACTTTGTAACCTCGTGAACTGCATTTTTGACTGTTTTATTTGCACTGGTTCATAGTATATATGCATATATACTGCAGATTGTTTTTATGGGCATTGCTGTTATCCCAGCCCTTCTAAACTCCACCTGCTCTTCACACGAAAACCAATGGGTTTGTTTAAGTATCTCATTTGTCTCTTGTCCTTCTTATGTAATCCACTATATTTGCCAATTTACTGTATTTTGAGCCTAAAATCTGAGCCCATTTTGCTTTAACAGGCATGCATTTCTCCCATTTCTGCCAGAAAACTAAGTACTGTATTTTGTGCATTTGTACATTGTATTGAAATGTATGTAGTGCTGTTCACAACACTGTCTCAAAGCGCTTTACTAAATAGTTGGTGTATATACATATATATTTTTCTCCCAATATCAAGAAACATAATGCAAAGAAACTAATTTTTTGCATAGTTTAAAATTGCACTGGAAATGGTCATGCTGGTGGGCAGTGTACCTAGCGGCTTGGCAGAAAAGGGGACTATTATAAAAGATCTCTGTGTAGCCAACAAGCTCTTAGGAGTCTCTTTCATTGATAGCGGGATTATATTCATTCATCAGTGGGACTGCAGATTCCTAACTGAAGTGTCCCAGTGTTCTCTGGCTGCTTCATGCACTTATCTTTCAGCTCCTTTGAATAAAACTGCTGCAGGGATGTCAATATAATGAAATGATTGGAGCAAGATGGTTTCCAAACAAATCTCTCTATCTTTTATTCTGTAACTTGTCAGAAGTAACTCTTAGAAGAGCTCTAGCTTGTAGACCCATTTATAAAAGGCCCAGGTTTGGCTTTTTATATAAGATTAATTTTTTTAAAATTGAAGGGGCTTTTTTAGAAAAACCTGCTTTACAAGGACTTTTTGTGAACTGGCATTTTGATGAAAAGCCCTTTTTAAAAAAATATGGCCTTTAACTCTTCTTTTAAAGACACTATACAGTTTCTAGTCTGCCTACACTCAGTGACGATGATTTGAAAGTTTTACGTTACTTTGCTTGCTGCTTTCACCAAAAATTTGAATATATGTAAAAATCCATTGGGGAAATGACTTTAAAACGTTTGCTAGCAGGCCAGTGTAACTGGTTTTCATGTGAAGAGAAGTTGGGAGTTTTAATCTCTATATTCTTAGTTTTGCAAATGTCTACATAAAGTGCCGATACGTATATTTGTATTACAATATCAAGTTACTGGCGTTGTGAGGGCCACACGTTTATGATACTGTAGCTGCTATATTTATTTAAATGGAGACGGACAATTACTGCACTAGGAAATGAGGAGATGAGCAGGAACCAAGGCTTAGAGTTAGATGTGGTATCTCGTTTTTCAAAAGAAAATTAACAGTGTGAAATACCAAGTGTAACAAAGGGTGCTGTCATTTTAATTGAGATTAAATAGCCAGATATTCTTCCTTTGTCTAAAGACTTATATATATTTTGATGTTTGCAGTTTAGGGGGTGGGGGGATAAATGGTACCTCATCTGTGGTGGCAGTTTCCAGTATATTTTCATGGGAGTATATGGATTTTTTATTTTTGTACCTGCTCTCCTTTAAAGAAAAGTTTTTCTCGAGTTTTATGTGCTTTTTAGAGAAATCTCAAGTGCAACACACATGATCCCTTTACCTTTCCAGGAGCACTCTGTATATAGCCCAAACAGGGATGTGGGCAAAGGCTGACAGTTCCATTTTGCGGAAACATTGGCCTCATTTGTGCATACATCTGTCTAAAACAGTGGTTCCCAATCTTCTCAGACACTGTACCAGTTTACCAGACTAAGACTTTACTTTGTACTAACAAGTGCCACTAACCTCCCAAAGAACAGGGGCATACACTTGGACACCCAGCACAAAATTTGGGGTGGGCAACCAAGGATGCTAGCCCCACACACCTGAAATAACAATACTGGTACATGTACCAATTTGTAGGAACCACCGTCCTAGAAATGACAGTGCTTCTCCTAAGGTTAACAGAAGGGTTTTTGGTAATGGCGGTTACTTTAAATATGTGATCTAGTGATTAGTGGATGCAACTTTGGAAAGAATTCTTAGTAGTTTGAATTGTTAAACTCTTGCTACATCTGCTAACAGCACGACTGACAACTCCACTCAAACAAAGCAGCTTTGATTTGTGGGGCACTTCCACTGTGGCCATTTTACTCAGGATTGTTAGATGGCTGTCAAATGTTAAACCATTTAGTTGAAATTATGCAAAGGTTATTTCCCTAGGATTCTTTTTGAGATGCTTTTAGATGGTAGTTTAGCCCTTGTAACAGCTTTTAAGTTAAAATGGATTCCTGAAGCTTGTCAGTCAAATTCTTTCAAGATGCCATTGGTCCTAAATTATTTCCATTTCTTCTTTTTGTGCAGATACTTGTTGGATCAATGTTTAGGCACAGGACATTAGGTGAATAATCACCTCTGTACACATCTTAGCTGCTTACGTTGGTTTTTTACTAGTGCTCAAATGCACAATAGTGTGAAATTTCCAAGCTTCAATTTCAAAAGTATGAGGCCTTTCTGGATTTACATTTTACTCGTACCTTGAAACTTGTCAGCCTTTGTGTTCTCAGTTTTGTGAACTGATGGGAAAACCTTTCTCAAAGCACTTTTCATAACAGAGAAATCAAAGAGGCACTGATTATATACATTGAAACCATAACTTTTCATTTCCAAATGGTCGTCTTGAAGTTTCTTTTCATGCCAGACAAATGCTCCGTCAGCTGCAGCGTTGTGGAGTAAATGTAGCTGCCACTGGCCAGTTAATTTTATCAAATAGAAAATCCATGTAGATGTCAAAGGGACAAATATTCCTGGCTTACTTCCTACCCAAAGATGGTACTTGAATTTGACATTGTGTATGGGATACCATTTGTGTTTTGGCACATCTTTTAATTATAAAAACTTCACTTAGCCAATTCGCTCAGATATATATTATTTTTGTAAAAACGAAAAAAATTAGGTTAAGGCGAGTGCTAACCTCAGTGTTTTCTGCTAGTAGAAAATCTTTGTAACTTTACAATAGTTGTGAGGTGTGAATCTGATATGTACAGGACCCTATGTTTTACCTGTCTAGCAGAGTCTCAAGAATACAATCACTAGAACACTGAGGTTTAAAATTAGTTTGTGGCCTGAGAAGCCTATGGGAAGTAGTGGGGGTGGCGGGTAGGTGAAGGTTTGCAAAGAAGCAAACCAACGAAGCATCACCGTTACAGAAACTAGGGAGTTGGCGGAGAGACTCCATACCAATCACCTTTCCAGCCATGTGCCCCTGACTGTG